TAGTTATTGTCATCGTCCAAAATTTTTGCTAAATTTTTCCCATATATTTCCAAAAATTGGTCAGAAATTGATAAAACAAAAAATACATTTAACATTTTTGGTTGGTAATAATATCAGCATCAGTGACAAGAATCATGATATATCGCAACAATATTGAACATGAATGAAAATATTAACATGTCAGTACAGGTTCCAGTGGATGGTTACATGACAATGTTTTCAATGGCAGATATATTCGATTATAATATTTTACAAATGCATCTTATTTTTATAATTACAATGTTAATAATGTTAAAATATGATGTACAATCATGTTTGGCAGCAATAATATATATTCTGACATAGTACAGCTAGAAAGGCAATAAAATTGCCGCCACAGTTATTCAAATTTGGTGTAAACAATTTGTATTTGACATGCATTCACACATGATGGGACCTGTATCCAACACAAAGGGCTGTGATGACTATAGTGACTTAATTGCACATACTCACCCATATGGCTTGAGTGCACATCCTAGAACAACTAGAGTTAGGCCGCAGGATAAACTAAATGCTAAGATAATTAAACTGCAAAAAAACAAACATGTAAAGAGTCATAAAGTATGCAGAAAGACAGTACAGTGATGCAGGAGTCAATGTGATCCTGTACTGCCTGAGTGCATACTTGGCGGTATTTTTATAACCTTATTATTATATATTTGTTCCTCCATGTACTAATAATTAGGAAATATCAGCCCGAAATGCCAGCTAAAAAGGTTTTAGATCATATTTATGTGAACATCGTGTTCAGTGGTTGGATCCTATTTCCGCTATGTGCTATATATTGCTGCAGAGTACAGCATAAACAAAGGAAAGTTCAAAATTGCTTTAGGTATTTCACCTCAAATAAAGGAAACAAGTGCAAATATGTTGACAGTAGCTTGATGTTTAGTTCTGTAACTTTTTCTCTTGTGTTGATACTACTGTAAAGGGGTTAATTATTCACTGGGTTTTAATTTTGCTTATTTCGTTGACTGAAAAATGCGCTAAATTACAACCCAGTGAATATGTAAAATGTAAAACACATTATACAAATGACAAAACCGTCAATTTAAAACCCACTGATTATGCCTGTAAAGGTAAATCAGCGAAATGTAAACCCAGTGAAAATTAGTCATTTTACAGTATTACATCCATCATTAGTTGTGTACACCTATGTTGCCCCCATTGATGGTTTCACATCGAGTTTTTAACAATATTGATAGTTGCTTTGACATTGTAAACCAGATTTCAAAAGACTCTTAATTTTACAATGAATATTCATGCATGCAATGGTAGAATAATAGGCAATAGGGGTCAACTCTGTTAATGCATAGAGGCAATCTTTTCTAACTCCATTGTTGAAGTAACTGCATTAAATTAGTGATCAGCCTGTTACACAAACGTTAAAATTTAAACATTTTTTTCCAGTGGTTCCAGGTGTTGGGCTAGCATATTTTTCAGGCCATGGTCTGTAAAAAAACACTTGAGATGAACTGAACACTTGCAGAGTTACTACATGTATGTTGGCATACACACAAGATATCTTCTCCATTAAAAGTGAATCTTCAATCAAAGTGCACATGAACAAAAAATAACATTTATTGTATGCTGAATAATTAAAACAACAAATTTGGACCACAGACACACCTCTCAGTTATATCTCAAGTGCAAATGCTACAAATAGAGCAAATACAATAATGTGAATATTGGGCATGCCCAGTTTCTTATTTACATACTACCAGCAAATTCAAGCTTGATACCCATCTATCTATAATTATTTTGTTTTCCTTTATTTTTCTTGTATCCCCACAAATAATATACAAATCAATAAACAATAGGTTACAATCTAATTGATCAATTGCAAAAAAAAAAAAAAAGAATTTTAATATGATTATCAAATAGGTTTCATTTATTAGATATTATCAGTCAATAGAGATATTCATAACAGGATTCTCTCTGGTAGAAGCACATACACTTGGCCAATACTGAGTGAATTACAATTATTGAATGTTAAAAATAAAAGTTTGGGGTGTCATTTATATAAGAGAAAAATACTAATTTGATGATGTTGCCAAGTTCAGATAAAATTTTCGTTAAAAATGCAGAACAGCACTGTGTCTTGTAAGAATGATATGTATTCATTACATGTAGGAGGGTTTAATTAGGAGTTTACTTACCCTGTTCAGAGTTCAGTACCAATGTAACATCAAGAACATAGAAAAAGATAAGAGACATTGTGTAAGCAAGAAAATCATGAAGCAGGTGTAAATTCTGAATCAAATCAAATTCAACAATTAAACAAAATGGCTTCTTTGACAAGGAATTGGAATTATTGGTAGTACCGTAGTACTGATTTATAATGTTGAATTGAAAAAGATATCAAGTCTTGTATTTGGGTACAGAGATATAAGTAAATGTTATTGAATGGACTATTCAAAATCTGGGATGAAAATATTTTCCAACAAAAATGTATTCAGCTCAGATTTTGTGAATATTCTTTGTTTTTTCATGAATTGGCTGGGGGGGGGGGTAGTAGCTCTTTGTACAGGTCTGTGAATGTAGAGGTGCTCATCTTGGTAGTCATTTTGTGTTGCACATTTGAGTTACACAAGTCTATGGAAGGAACCATAGCTCTTCTGTGTCAATAAAAATCCTAATATCTGAAAATAATTTAATGACGCCAAATGTATCAAAAATCATTAAAATACCATCACAAAGACTGCAGACCGACACAGAAAGAGCTATGGACCCATAGCTATCATTTTGGGACCTTGCAACTCGCGCACATTAGTGTGTCAGGAAGTCACAATGTAAATATCACCAGTAAAGCATAAATACATATATAAAAAAAAATGTCATCACTGTCGTCACCAGAATTCAAAATGAGCCACTCCTTACCAACACACAACAAATTTAATATGTAATTTAGTACTAGTAGTATGTATACAGAGGTAAAGATTACCATCAACATACACTGCTATGACCCCCCCTCCCCCAGTGCAGCAGGGACTAACCATGGAGGTAGAAAAGTCTACCTCCAGGACTAACTAACTCGTCAAATACAAAAAATGTGATTTAAAAAGTTACACACGGAGGGCATGCGTCACACAGCCCAGTCTGCTTGACAACTACATGTCTA